ATATAGAGAGTAGTTAGTATAATAATAATATATATATACACATATGTGTGATATATATAATATAGTATAGTAGTAGTACTAATAATAAACTAAACTAATATATATATATATATATATATATATATATAACTAGGAAGCACTAAATAAATCTATTTGAATATTCCTTGTATATAGGTTCTGAAAGCAAACACCGAAGGTGCATTAATCATCTTGATAACTGATGGGGAGGAAAATACAGACCCTAAAATACCAGCTGTAATTCAAAGAGTTATAGAAGCCAAAGTTGTAATCAACGCAATAGACCTGGGTGGACAATCGGATAAAAATTTAGAAACACTTTCCGTGAAAACAGGAGGAAATTCTTTTCTTGTTCTTGATGATGAGTCAGGAGTATCTTCAAATATGGATGATGCACTATTTTACGGCAGCAAGACTGCCCAAGGTGACATCGATTTTGGTTTGGTTGAAGTAAGTGTATAGTATAAGAACGGTTATTGTGAATTTCTGAAGAGGTCGCTCTCAGTTATGGTTCTAGTTGGGCATTCTAAGTTAATGTTAACCTTTATATGTTATATGTTAATTTTACAAGTTTACAATGCTAAACTCCAAAGTTTGATTTCTAGTGTTGAATAGAGAGCAGAAGAACTATATTGTACCGTCATGCATAAGTGAAACTAGTGAAAATATACACGTTTATATTCCCTCATGAAATGGACATGGCACGAAAATGGTACGTTCATTAAAACTGCGGACAGTGGACAATATTTAACATACAGTGAGTTATTATAGGATTTAGTGAGAGTGCAACGAAATACCAAATCCTGAGAGGGAGGAAGAGGTCAACGCTGAACCTGACCCTCCCTGGTCCAAAACATGGATCGAATCCCGATGAAGAAGAAAGACAGAGTGCACTGAAAACAACATCTATATATGTGTATAAACACTTAAGGAAACTTCTGTAGTGTAAACGTAGAGTGCACTGAAAACAACATCTATACCTGTATATAAACACTTAAGGAAACTTCTGTAGGGTAAACGTATAGTTCACTGAAAACAACATCTATACCTGTGTATGAACACTTAAAGAAACTTCTGTAGTGTAAACGTAGAGTGCACTGAAAACAACATATATACCTGTGTATGAACACTTAAAGAAACTTCTGTAGTGTAAACGTAGAGTGCGCTGAAAACAACATCTATACCTGTGTATGAACACTTAAAGAAACTTCTGTAGTGTAAACGTAGAGTGCACTGAAAACAACATCTATACCTGTATATAAACACTTAAGGAAACTTCTGTAGGGTAAACGTAGAGTGCACTGAAAACAACATCTATACCTGTGTATAAACACTTAAGGAAACTTCTGTAGGGTAAACGTAGAGTGCACTGAAAACAACATCTATACCTGTGTATAAACACTTAAGGAAACTTTTGTAGTGTAAACGTGGAGTGCACTGAAAACAACATCTATACCTGTGTATGAACACTTAAAGAAACTTCTGTAGTGTAAACGTGGAGTGCACTGAAAACAACATCTATACCTGTGTATAAACACTTAAGGAAACTTCTGTAGTGTAAACGTAGAGTGCACTGAAAACAATATCCATGCCTGTGTATGAACACTTAAAAAAACTTTTGTAGTGTAAACGTGGAGTGCACTGAAAACAACATCTATACCTGTGTATAAACACTTAAGGAAACTTCTGTAGTGTAAACGTAGAGTGCACTGAAAACAACATCCATGCCTGTGTATGAACACTTAAAAAACTTGTGTAGTGTAAACGTGGAGTGCACTGAAAACAACATCTATACCTGTGTATAAACACTTAAGGAAACTTCTGTAGTGTAAACGTATAGTTCACTGAAAACAACATCTATATCTGTGTATGAACACTTAAAGAAACTTTTGTAGTGTAAACGTGGAGTGCACTGAAAAAAACATCTATACCTGTGTATGAACACTTAAGGAAACATAGCTGCTGCTATAAACTTCTGTGGTGTAAGCGTAGAGTTGACTGAAAACAACATCTATACCTGTGTATGAACACTTAATGAAACATAGCTGACGCTATAAATTTCTGTGGTGTAAACGTGGAGCATACATCAATAGTGATATGGTGATTCAGAACATTATTGTCAGATAACTTCCGCTCACAGAAAAAAGAAGATGGAACTTACAGTTTGTTTTACTAACGAGCACGGGCCCGGCATGGCCAGGTGGTTAGGGCGCTCAACTCGCAATCTGAGGGTCGCGGGTTCGAATCCCACCAAACATGCTCGCCCTTTCAGCCGTGGGGACGTACTAATGTGACGGTCAATACTACTATTCGTTGGTAAAAGAGTAGCCCAAGAGTTGGCTGTGGGTGGGGGTGACTAGCTGCCTTCCCTCTAGCCTTACACTGCTAAATTAGGGACTGCTAGCGTAGATAACCCTTGTGTAGCTTTGCGCGAAATTCAAAACAAAAACAAACTAACGAGCACTTAATTAAAAAAAATATATTCAGAGTGTTGATTACAGTGCTCAAAATTAGAAAGTTGTTTCTTTTACATGTAGCCACGGAACAGCCAAAGCGAGTTTTTAACCTTATTAGAACATTTTAATATGATGAAACAAAAAGTGTGAATAGATATTTGTTCATACTTTGAGAAAAAAGCAACAGAATTATTCGTACTCTGTATGCACTTGGATAGTGTGATTCTTACTTTTGACTTTTGGTGCATTCTGACAGAGTGCTCTACAGTTTTTACCCATTGGTACACAGTACTTGTAGCTTTGAATGTATTCTAACAGAATACTTCATGCTTTGGACGCACTGCCACAGTGTCTCACTCTATGAATACACTAAGACTGAGTGTTTCACACTTTAGACGCATTCCAAGTGAACGTTTCAGACTTTGAACGTTTCCGGTAGAATTGCTCATACTATCGATGCATTGTGACAGAATATTTCACACTTTGAACGCATTTCTGAACGCAGGGAATTGAAAGCCGGATATTAGAAATGTAAGTCCGGAAAGTAACTACTGGCCCACCGGGGAAACTGAAATGTTATTCAAATTGGAATCACCAATGAAAAATACCTACATGACCTTTGTGTAGTATGAATATGTCAGGTCAAATTTAAATTAAAAGGAATAAATAAATAAATCATATTCGATAGCGAATGAGACAAAAGTGGATGTACAATTATTTCACATAGGATAATTTCTAACATTTTCTCTGAAATAAAAAAATAATTAATATGTTTTTAATTGTTTTCGAAACATTTTCTTTAGGACCAACCAAATAATAACAACTGTAGATAGACCCTCGGTGGGTCAGCGGTAAGCTTACAGACTGACAAAAATCCGGAGTTCGATTCTTCGCGATCAACACAAGAGATACCCCAATGTGGCTTTTATCTAAAATCAAACACAAACACACCAACTGTATAGTACCAACTTTACAGCAATTTGTGCCCTAAACAACTATATAATGATTTTTGCCCCATTCTGTAAATTCATAATTGGAATAAAAACACTAAAGCTTACATTAGGTAGCACAAGTTATACCATGAATAACCACCTAATAACTGCAGTTTATAAGTCAGTGATAAATACTGTCCCATGACGATTGTCACGGCGAAAACTATTTTCGAGAAAAACATACATTTTTACATTATTCCCACGTTAAATTTATTTGTTATTTCTTTTAAACGGACTTGCGCTTATCGATAAGCACTACGTTAAATACCTCCGTGTGATGTAGCTAATATAATAAAAATATATTGTAAATGAAATGTTGACAGTTAATAATGTGGCAGAATATTACAATAGATGTTATAAATGCCAAAACATGACTTTTAATATACCTTCCTTATCCTCCTTTATGTATCTGTCTATTGTACACCTGTTCGAATTTCGGGTTAAAGTAACTTGTACCTTGATTATAATTACACAGCCTCAAAGCTAATGGATGCTAACTTCTTTTGCAGCTTTCAAAAGAAGATATGACATTATCCGAAAGTGAGACCAAACATCTAACCACGTACATAGACAGTTCTTTGGGCAACAATACTAAATTCACTTTCAGGAGTAAATACTTAACCAACCTCGAAATTTCTCTAGAAAGTCCTAATAATAAGATCTTCACCCAAGATGGCACAGAATGGACCAAACTTGATGAAACAACAGGGCAGTTTCTGTTGACAGAAGCTGAGGTAAGCTATTATATCCAATGAATTTTCCTGTCAAAAGTCTAAAATATATCATAAAGATTTTTCTTTCATACTCAGAGGTAATTAGGTTTTTCTTCATTTTTCTAAGAAAACTTTACTGTCAGCCTCGAGCCACTTGAAAAATTCAAAAAGTGCATAACTAAATTAAAGCATTAGAGAGAAATAATTTAAATTGTCTCCAAAAACGGCAACGACTGAACATTTTACGACTACCTTGCTAAATTAGCGTAAAATAGATATTAGTGTAACAAAACAGTGTGTGACCAGAACAAAAGACTATAAGATAAAGTAGATATTAGTATAACAAAACAATGGATATGAAAAAACATAACATTAAGTAGATATCAGTGTAACAAAACAATGTGTGAAAACAATAAAAGAATCGTAAAATGAAGTAGATATCAGTGTAACAAAACAATGTACGTCCAGAACAAAAGAATATAAGATAAACTTGACATTAGTGTAACAAAACAATGTGTGAAAACAACAACAAAAGAATTGTAAAATGAAGTAGATACCAGTGTAACAAAACAATGTACGTCCAGAACAAAAGAATATAAGATAAACTTGACATTAGTGTAACAAAACAATGTGTGAAAACAACAACAAAAGAATTGTAAAATGAAGTAGATACCAGTGTAACAAAACAATGTGTGACCAGAATAAAAGAATATAAGATAAAGTAGATATTACTGACAAAACAATGTGTGACCACAATAAAAGAATAGCAAGTTAAAATACATATTAGTCTAACAAAACAATGTGTGATCAGAAACAAAGAACCTTAAGATAAAGTAAATATTACTGACAAAACAATGTGTGACCAGAACCAAATAATCTAACAAATAGTGTAACAAAACTACTTGGTTTGGATTTCATTGTGGTAATCTTGGTACCACAAGTTGATCTATATTGCTTTGTTTTTTAATGCCATTAGGTACAAAAGATATTCCGTCTTCGAAATTGTAATGCTATGTCTCAACACATCTTCATGATACGAGTTTATGAACGTTTCGTGTCGTAAAGTCATGTTACCTACATTATTCAAAAACAACCAATTTTTGGTAACATCACACTACATACATAGCACCAAACAATGTAAAAATATATTTCTGATATAGGTTATTTCTTCACGAATTTATATCTGCTGTGGTAGTCACGTTTCTTGCTAACTTGCCTCTTTAAAATCTATTTTTGTTAATATAATGTACACAACCCTCTGTTAGAGGTACAGCCAAGAGGAACGAAAAGAAAATTTTTCTATGGGGAAGTTATCATTTTACATGTTACACATACAAAATAAAAAACTAAAGTAGCTAAGTTACATAAATTGTATCTGAGAACTGTATTATTAGCATTCGTTTTATTGTAGTTTTAAACCAAAAATATACCGTTGGTGATGATGAATATCGTATCATGTAATATTTGATAAGTTATCTGTAAAATGAGATCGTTTTTGATAAGTAGAAACTTTACTTTTCCAAATAACTACATCCTAATTATTTATTATTTTGGGATAACAGGCAGGAGAATGGAAAGCAAAGTGCTCCTCCAAATCATCATCATCAATAAAGGTCAGCTTTCAAGTTACATCAGAACCAACTGACCCTGAAGATGACCCTGTACGAGTTGAAGCTTTTATAAGCGACAGTACATTTGACACATTTACTAAAGATATGCAGAATTACGCACTCATCTCTGCCAGAGTTTATAAAGGAAACATTAATATAGCACATGCTACACTCAATGCAACAATCATCAGGCCAAATGGCGCTGATCCTCTGTACAATTTCATTCTTCTATACAGTAAGTAATACTCATATCTTACCATATTCGTGTGTAAGTGCGCGTGTGCGTGTCTGTGTATGTGTGGCGAAAAACCATATAGAAAAGAAATGTGACCACCATAGCTCCAAGAGGAAAGAACCTAGAAAACTGACATTTTGCATCCATACTAAGTGGATCCTGAGGGTGTGCACCTGGGAATTATTACTTATCTTATCCACGTGTGTGTGCATGGCATGCGCTCTTTTTAATGACGCAAGAGAGCGAAAAACTACATAGAAAAGAAGGGGTTCCATATATTATAAATTATAGATATAAATCACAAACAGACACGCAAGGGCGCGCGTATGCATCTCTTTAATGAGGCAATCTAGCAAAACACCATATAGTAAAGAAGTGGTTCCTTATATAACAACTTCTAATATATAGAAAAGCCAGTGCATTTTGGTAGCATTGTGTTACAACAATGGCTTTTATATCATGTTGCTTAGCAATAAAAGTATAACCTAATATTGTTGTTAAGAGGCTATGTGCTGAAAGTATCAAATAAAATGTATAAACTACAAAATTGAAAAATGTTTGTTGTTTTCTAATTTAGAGGCTCCGTTAATTAAAGATGTTTGTTTTCATTATTTGTTTTTATTATTTAAGTTTAAAACCGGAGGACAAGTCAGAGTGAAGGTTACCTTTATAAACAGGTCACATCCCATAAAGGAGCAACAAAAGTGTATAGGTTATACTTTTATGCTAAAATGGGTTCAGAATACACGTTGACATAGTCATATAGAATAAATCAACCTAATAACATGAGCGAAGCCAGGTACTTTTGCTAGCAATAGAGTAAGAATTAAGCGGAATAGGTTAGTATATTACTATCAAAGTAACCCAACAAAGCCAGGTTTAAACAATAATGCTATAAATATCATTATTTTGAGGAATAGCATTCGAGTGGTTCGTCTGATACAAAGGTACCCGTGCTTCGCGCGGCATTAACATTACTTTCGTTAACCATCTACTCCACGTATTTTGCTACCGACTTCTTCACTTAGTTGGGCTCTCATTCTCTGCATTAAAGCGGTTACGTTGAAATACAAAACCATTTATTTATTCATTTAGATATGATATTTGGGGAATCTACTTGAATTATTGTAGCAAATTTAATAGAAATTTGCTTAGCCAGTTTAAAACTCTCGATCTCATTTGACACTCAATTAGAAAAACACAAGATTTCAAATTCACTCCTCTTACTTCAAATGACGAAATAAGAGCAATTCGAAACAAATGAAATATGATAAGCCTACATTGCGCAGTTTTAGTTGCTATATTTTGTAATTTAAAGAATCTAATGTTTATAAAAGTAATAACGACAGTAATAACAGCAATGTGTCAACAAATGTGTCTGACTTATCCTTCGTCATTTAACCCATTACTTGATAAAGATCTGGTGTGTATCTGTTTATAACTGGCAAACCGCTAAACCGATTGTCATTAAAAGAAGGGACATAGGAATATCGACGTTCAGATTTTCTACTTATGTCATCCCGAGCTCCCTTTGTCTTCTGCTTGTGTTGAACTGGTATGTCAGCTGGTATTTTTATATAGAATATAGTGTTATAGATGAAAACTGTGTTATAGTTTGAGGTCAACTTATATATAGTATGTTTTCCATTTTACGAAATCTTATATTATAGTTGGAGACACAAAGACATCAAGCACTGCAACATAAAGTTGAATCGGCTAAAAATTTCGGGTTTTAATATTGTTTTTATATTTTTTCTAATAACTCGCAAATAGGAAACAAAATGTTGTATTTTCCATCTTATATTTTAAGCGAGGCCTCCTATGGTAATAAAATAATGCAACGTGATTTTAAAATCCTAGCGTGATAATAAAGTATACTATTATTATGGAATGGTAATGTGATAATAAAAATAAAGCGTGATTATCATGAACCTCGATAGTGGTTCATGATAGGAACCGCATGGAATTGCGCAAAACCCTAACAGAACGTTCTGGCAAAAAGCACCATAAACAGTAAAGATTCAGTTCAAACAACACTTTAAACCCTTTACTATTGACTGCTAAGGCTGTACACATATAAAAATGTACAAAAAACACTCATGTTAAACTTACAAGGAAAAGAAAATCCGGCCCGTTTGTAAATATTATTATTGTTCTTATTACTGTTATTCTTTTGCCAGCCTACAACTAAAACAGCTTGGTACGTCTAATCCAAACCTTTTGTAGAATACTAAGTAATGTACTACGAAGGTTGTAAGGGTATTGAAAGGTCGATTTGTTTCTTCTATATTTTACATAAGCTAAAAAATATCACACTCCTTGAAGTTAGCTCTTTTACAAATATCTAGTGTTCCTTTAAAAAAAACTTAAGTACAGGGTGAAACACGAATTGCCAGCCAGTAATAGATGAACATTAGATGACTGTAACATGTAGATACCCAATGCAAATGCTTATTTAAAGCGTTGTTCTAGACGTATGTTTTATTTCAAAAAGCTGCTTTTCTACTGGTGAAATGTTATACGTGCTTTGTGAAGGTTGTATCATAGTCTACGCATATATTTGTCCATTGCTATGCATTATAGATAGAGAATTTGGTTACAAAAAACTATGAATACTCATATATTCTCAAACAAATCTTCATGACAATCTCCAGCTGCAGCTTAACATTTTACATCTCGAATAATGTGATCAAGTAGTCAGTAGCTACAGTAAATCATCATGAACCTTATCAGCTAGCTATGCTTATTATCATTACAGTATGAGAGGTTAACTACCATACTAAGAAATCCTTTGTCCTTAGTTGAGCATAAAAAACGCCAGCAAATAACAAAAATATAAAATTGGAAATTCAAAACCTGCAATTAGGGATCATACAAGAGATAAGGCAACAAGGCTGAAGATATTGTAGAAATTATTTATTCAAATTACAATCCCTATTTTGACCCCATGAAATGTAATTCTAGGTAGCAGCATGGAGCCAAAATAGTGATTTGTAGTTTGAGTAAATAGTGTCTACAGTTTCTCCAGCCTTGTTTCTTTTCCTTTTTTACGATCCCTATTTACAGGGTTTAAAATTCCCATTTACTTATTCATTTGTAGAATAGAAGCGTGATAATAACAATACAACATGATTACAGGGTGCTGGTGTGTAATAGCAGTACAACATGATTATAGAATGCTGGCGTGATAATAACAATACAACATGATTACTGGGTACTGGCGTGATAATAAGAATTCAACATAATTACAGAGTACTGGTGTGATATTACCAATATAACATGATTTTATATTTTACACATTTGTTATTTATTCCATCAATGTTCCTTATTCATAGGTTCACAAATAAACAATAATGTACTTGTTTTTTAGTTCGTAAGGTAATCAAGTTTGCTGCTGAATACAACCAACGATTTGTTTATATTATTATACAAGATATTTTGTATTTTAACTCTGAAAAGCCATTGTTGCGTGAATGGACTAAACGACCAGTTCAAAGACCTTAAGTTTCAGTTAAAAGTGTCCCTAATTTTGAGCTACTGACCAAAGAGTAGAGAGCTAGTCAATAGCACTCACAGACACCATAGATTTTACCCCAACCGAATAATGAACTCGACTGTTACTCTTTGAACGCTTCTGCAACAAGTCTTGTTAACAACTAGGACACGTCCAGCTCTGTTTGGCATTTGAAAATGGCTAATCTTATTCGATATTATTAGAAAAAATATATTTTATTTTTCTAGAATATTTTCCTTTTTTTTACATTTCTCCTTTTCACATAACAGAAAAGGAGATTTTTTTGTATTTCATTTCATAGCAGTTAATTTTAACGAAAAAAGATGAAAAGTAGATGTTTTAAAGAATTCTAAATATTGTCTAAGTAAAATGTTTAAATAGTTAAGAAGTTTGACTCTTCTAACACAATCAACTGTAGTTTAGCCTATAGCTACATATTCTTAAAAATCTGATCCTGTAGTCTAGCTGTGTTTTAGTTTTTAATTTATTATCATTATCCTTTAAGCTATGAATGAAAAATATAACTGTCACAATGATATTATTCCTTAGCGGGATCGAATGGGCTGTATAAACGTGACTTCACAGAGTTCACTGGGAATGGGAGATACGCTGTTGAAGTAAAGGTGATAAATGATGGAAAGGCAACTTTGGAATTGAATGATAAATCACAGAATTCTTTTCCACCTAAAGGTAAGTATTCACAATCTGTTAAATATTAAATCGTGTATGTATTGAAAGAACTAAGCACGTATAATAATGCTAGAAATAAACAAATATTTTTGTCTTTTTGTACCTTGATCGAGGTACGTAATTAAGACATTTTCGTTTTAGAAACAGAATATTAGTGAAAAAAGACTTTTTTTTTGCATGGTTGTTTGACAAATCCGCAATGTAAAAGAAATCCTTTGAAACATTTTTATTAATGATGATGTTTAGCTCAAATCTTCATACATTAAATGTCATTATTATTGGATAATATCGTTTAACTTCTTTATTTGAAATTTTAGCGAAAAACTTCAGAATGTCCATCAGGAGAATCAAATCCAACATTCTAATATTATAAGCATTCAAGTTTACCGTTGGGCCACTGAAAAAAAATAACTGTTAGAATAAAATCATCAAGAGTTTTTCAAACATACTATATCCTTATTTGTAACTACGTTTGAGCTTTAATGGGGTCATAATGGTGTTGAAGTGAAGGAACCAGATCATCGTTTTGTAATCAAAACACATACTGGATTTGAACTAGTTATTGATTTCAACCAAATAATTTTAAACATATAAACTTTATATGTGTAGAATGAATTTAACACCAGATGAGCTGAAGCGCACATGACAAGAACCATGATGTTGCTATTGTCATATTTTCTACAACGTTTAGCTATACAGTACATGTAGATATGTTATTGAACCTCATGTGATTCTGTAATGTTGAAAATTTAGAATATTAGTTTTTCTGGATATCCTGTATTTATTATTTAATATACTAATGTAGTGAGAGGATACTGTCATTTGTACAAACGAAAAACCTATCAAATATTGTACTGAATTTTTATTTACCAAGAATATACACAATATTAAAAATTACTTTCTGTGTAAGAAATATAGCAGAAACCAGAAATAATATTATTGTTTTTCAACCTGGATGGAATGCAATATCTACATATAAATGTTTGTGTAAAACAAAATTCGTTGCACACAAGATATGTATTTTAATGAAATTTCTGTATTAATTGAGATTTATGTTCCGTGAAAGACACAGGAAGACAAGTTTTCTCACGATATTTACTAGAATTGACTGCTGGTTAGGTTTAGTTTATATTTTTCTCAACAAGCATTCCAGGATATAAATTAATTTATGAAAATAGAACGGTTTATTTATTCTCTTCCCATTTTCGGTGCTAACTCCAAAATGTGGTTTAGTTAGTTGCAAAACAAATCTGGTAGAATGTCTTTAAAAAAAAGCAAATCTACATATTTTAGTTTTGTCTTTGTCAGAATGGCGTTAGAGGTGCTGTATTGATTGTTTTCACGTGTTGTGGTTTAATACGCCCACGTGTAGGTTGTGCTATAAGATTAACTACATCTTTTACTGAACACGGAAATTTTTCAGCTTTACACACGAAAAACTGACCCCCTCTTCGAATATAAGAATTGTAATGGTGAACATTAGGTTTACAATGTTGAAGTTGGAATTTGTACTTCATTATTAAAGTTCGAATAAGGTACTAATTTGATTTATTTTACAGTGTATTTTAGCCTATTAACTAAGGTTTATATATTTTATTTAACCATAAAAATGGACAGGTGTTCTAACTTTAAGGCACACTTCATATTTATCTTGACCTCTAACAACGTGTTTTAATATTCTTTATAGTTTTTGTTTCAATATTGTAAATGGTTATTCATTTTGCTGTGTGTAAGAAATGGCAGTCTACATGGGGAACTTTGTAGACTGGAAGATCTACATCTACCAGGATTTGATTCCCCTCGATGGACAGAGCGCACGTAGCTCACTGCGTATATTTAAGCTAAAAAAACCAACATCTACTTCTACATGGAAATTAATTTAAAAAAACAACATCTACATTTACTTCTACATGGAAATTAATTTAGAAAAACAACATCTACATCTACTTCTACATGGAAATTAATTTAAAAAAACAACATCTACATTTACTTCTACATGGCCACGTAGAAGTAGATGTAGATGTTGTTTTTCTAAATTAATTTTTAATTTGTAGATGTTGGTTTTTAAAAATTAATTTCCATGTAGAAGTAGATGTAGATGTTGTTTTTATGTACTTCTACATGGAAATTAATTTTTAAAAATCAACATCTACATCTACTTCTACGTGGAAATTAATTCTTAAAAAACAACATCTACTTCTACATGGAAATTAATTCTTAAAAACCAACATCTACATGTACTTCTACATGGATATTAATTTAGAAAAACAACATCTACATCTACTTCTACATGGAAATTAATTTAGAAAAACAACATCTACATCTACTTCTACATGGAAATTAATTTTTAAAAACCAACATCTACATGTACTTCTACATGGAAATTAATTTTTAAAACCAACATCTACATCTACTTCTACATGGAAATTAATTCTTAAAAAACAACATCTACATCAACTTCCGAATGGAAATTAATTTTATACCACATATGATGAATAGAAGATAAGTTTGATCAACAATGTATTCTTTAGCAATTTGCAACTTTTTTGTTGTTTCTATCTTTGAACTTTATCTAAGCTATATAGATACTTGAAAGGTGTTGTTATGCAGTGAACACACATCGGTCTAAAAATTATAACATCTAAAACCTTTTCAGTAATAGTTGCAAAATAATGTAATATTTTAATAGCAGATAAAGTGAAGCCAAGTTATATTTTCAGGTTAAAATATTTCAATTATACTTGGTGATTATTTAATAAAACAAAACTCTTTTATACTAATATAGGAAACCAATTCAAAAGAAATAAAGATTCATCAGAATTGGGTAAATTTCAACGATCAACCAACGCAGGATCTTTCCAAGTTAAAAATTTCAATAAAGATGTCTTTAAGTACTTTCCACCAGGACATGTAACAGATCTCCAAATTATTCAAAGCCAAATGGTTTCTGGTATCTATATCATAGGGCTCCAGTGGACGGCACCAGATGACAATTGTTTTGAGAAACCAGGTATTTTAACTCAATATTAAACCTTCTTAGTATAATTCAGAAACAACAGATGCGCAATTTCTTAATGTTTTAAACATAAATTTTATCACCCGTAAGTCTGTCTTTCATTAAAATATCAGATGCATAATTTCACAATACTCTCAGTTACAACATTACCGCTGTAAGTCCGTAAACTTACCACTGGCCACTAGGGGAACCCAAATAAAAGAAAATCTGTGCTTAAGAAAAGCTTGTGTGGGATTAACCAAAATATTATATTAACAAACATTACTAAGAAAGCTATAACACATTGACATCTGGGCGTTTGTATACAAGTGAATTTGCAAGTAGAACAGTAAGAATATGAAATAATACATTTATTTTAAAACATGTAAACAGAAAATACGATACTGTAACCACGAAGAGAGTGTTAATTATGTTAAGTACGATAACAGTCAGACATTGCTTCTCCACATAGTTCTCGGTAAATACAATACATTTGTTTCGTCGTTCGATGAGCTTCAGTAAAATGCAGGTGTGATAGGGTATGACATTATTGTATTACAGAATAACTTCTTCCAGCGAACGGTGGGGTATGACATTATTGTATTACAGGATAGCTTCTTCCAGCTAACGGATAGGGTATGACATTATTGTATTACAGGATAGCTTCTTCCAGCTTTCGCTGGAAGAAGTTATCCTGTAATACAATAATGTCATACCCTATCCGTTTGGTGGGGTATCACATTATTGTATTACAGGATAACTTCTTCCAGCGAACGGATAGGGTATGACATTATTGTATTACAGGATAACTTCTTCCAGCGAACGGATATAGATTCATTGACACGATCATTCTTCGTAAACAGTAATTCTTTGAAAGACTGATCTGCTTTATTTCAATTTTCACGCAAAGCTACTCGAGGGCTATTTGTGCTAGCCGTCTCTAGTTTAGCAGTGATAGACTAGAGTTCCAGCAGCTATTCAACACCACCCACCGCCAACTCTTGGGCTACTCTTTTACCAATAAATGGTGAGACTGACTCAATAACGCCTCCACGGCTGAAAGAGCGAGCTTGTTCAGTATCGGAGATTCGAACCAGCGATTTCAAAGATTTCAAATTGAGCACCCTAACCGCCTGACCATGTCAGGCCCCTCTTATGAAAAACAGTTGACACTAGTTTAATTACTTGTTACTATATTCTTGGAAGGGACAGTTGATTAATATCAGTATTTTAGGTACATGATTACTTTACAATAGAGCTGCATCTGTCTGAAAGTCAAATTTTGAAATTAGGGCAGTGCTGTGAAAGCTGAAACACAAAAATACATATAAACAAATAAATTGAAACATGTATATAAAAAAAGCTTGTTCTATGTGGATTTACATAAATAATGAAGTTAAGAGATCTCAAATCTACACCTAACTTCCATAGCGCTACTCTAGTGTATATTCTTTAAAGAACCCCTCCCAAGTCAAGAGAAACGTTCCTCATTCTGTTACAACACCTCCATCAATTTTCACTTTTGGAATAATTCACTTAGGGTTAAATGCCTATCGCAGAGTTCTCCGTATTTTACCCTTTTTCTTAACACCGAAAAGAGTGAAAATGTGTAATGTTTGGTAAGGCACGTTTCCATTCGTTCATTGTCCACATGTGCATCTAAACATAACTAAAAACACTTTCTGTTTGCATGTTAAAGTAGCAGTTATCGAGTATTTTTTAAATGCATATAACATGTTATAATGCCCTTCATGTGGTATGTTGAAGATAGTTAAATCATGATCACTTGTAATTATTAACAGGTTGTTTGATCTTTGAGTAATAATTAGTTATAAATAGCACTTATCTAAAACACCAGGAAAATGCAATAATTGATTTTTAACACAGGTCCCTAACTCAAGGAAAGTTAACGTAAGAAGCAAAGGGGTGCCTAGACACCTCTTATAAGTTTTGCAACAGTATCCGGTCATGT